AGAGTCAGTATCTCCTACCTCCGTCTCTTGGATGCTGGGCTTCTAGGCATGCACCACTGTGTCTGGCAGTGAAATGTTCTATTGAGAAACATACTCTTACTTTTATACAAAGAAAAGGGCAAACATACGTGTGAATCCTTTCTTGGGACTGTTTGGAGACTTTGCTCTGGTATAAGGACAGCTAACAAAACAAAGGGACAAAAATAACCCTTCCTCATACTGAAGAGACACAGAATGCGGTCTCTACCTTAATGCCTTTTCCTTTTCCCTTTCAGAACAGGGATGGGAGAGATGGCTCAGCAGTCAAGAGCACTTGTTCTTGCAGAGGACACAAGTTCTGTTTCCACACCCTTATCTGGTTGCTCACAACCAATCAGATAACTCCAGAGATCCAGCGGCCTCTCTGGCCTCTGCCAGCACACATGTAGTTCACGTACCTACGCTCCCACATACACATAAAACGACAACTTAAAAACACATCTATACATCGTTTGTATGAGTGTTTTGCCTGCATATACGTTTATGCACTGAGTGCATACTTAGTGCTCACAGAGGTCAGAATTGGGCATCAGATCCGTTGGGATTAGTTACATATGGTAGTGCACCATTCTGTGAGTGCTTGTCATGAATCTGGGTCCTATGCAAGAGCAACAGGTACTTTTAACTGCTGAGCCGACTCTCTAGCCCCCATAAAACATTAGATTAAAAATAAATAGAAACCAAGGGGTCTGGAGAGAGATAGTTTAGTTAAGAGCACACACTGCTCTTCCTGATGACCTGAGTTTGAGTCCCAGCAACCACATCAGGTGGCTCACAACCCCCTGTAACTCCATCTCCAGAGAAATCACATCCCTCTGAGCTCGGTGGGAACTTGCATTCATGTGCACATACACGTGACTAAAATGACAAAAGTAAATATATATATTTTTTAAAATAATAAAGGGCTGGAGAGATGGCTCAATGGTTAAGAGCACCGACTGTGTTTCCAGAGTTTCTGAGTTCAATCCCCGGCAATCACATGGTGGCTCGTAATGGGATCTAGTGCCCTCTTCTGGTGAGTCTGAAGAGGGTGACAGTGTACTTATATACATAAAATCAATAAATAAATCTTAAAAGAAATAAAATCACTATTTAATTGGTAAAAATATATGTAACACATAGCTTTTCCTGCTAATTGAATGTAAGTGCAACCTCATTTATTTGCGGATTAATATTCATTATTATGTGTGTTTGGGAAAACCCTCCTGTTCTTTGAGATAATTTTGTGTTTCAGCAGCACCAGGCTATGTGCTCTGCTAGTCTTACTGAGCTTGTACAAACACCATACATTTAGGTTTGCACTAGAAAGGGCTTTTTTTTAAATGTAAATGCACCTGTCCTGCTAGTTGAGCCTACCAAAGTCCTCTTTCCATCAGTGACTCTAAGTAAGATGTGAGGTCTGCCCTGGTAGATTAGTCTGGCTTGCTTTCTTATGTTACACATGTTTAAATTCACACCACAGCAGAAGACTTTCTCATTTCTGATTGACCGGGTTTTAGGATGTACTGGAGGCAAAGGAAGTTCGAGGCTGTATTTGTTGTTGCTGTTTTATTTTTTTTTGTTTTGTTTCAATCTTGACTTTTAAAATGTATTTCTTTATGTATGTAAGTACACTGTTGCTGTTTTCAAACACACCAGAGGAGGTCATCATATCCCACTACAGATGGTTGGTTATGAGCCATTATGTGGTTGCTGGGAATTGAACTCTGGACCTCTGGAAGAGCAGTCAGTTCTCTTAACCACTGAGCCATCTTTCCAGCCCCTCAATCTTGATTTTTAAAAAATATATATTTATTTTATGTATACAAATACACTGTTGCTGTCTTCAGACACACAAGGAAGGGCACTGGATCCATTACAAATGGTTGCCAGTCACCATATGGTTGCTGGGAATTGAACTCAGGACCCTAGAAGAGGAGTAGTCAGTGCATTTAACTGCTGGGCCATCTCTCCGGTCCTTAATCTTGAATTTTTAACATCTTTTGATTATTTGTGCTTGTGCATGCACATGTGTGTGCAGACTTCTCAAGGCCAGAGGTTGATGTTGAATGTCTTACTCACTGGGATCTGGACTCACTGATTCAGCCAGGCTCGTTGGCCAAGGAGTCCCAGAAAGCTTGTGTCTTAGGATTTTACTACTGTGAACAGACACCATGACCAAGGCAACTCTTATAAGGACAACATTTAATTGGGACTGGCTTACGAGGTCAGAGGTTCAGTCCATTATCATCAAGGTGGGAACATGGCAGCATTCAGGCAGGCTTGATGCAGGAGGAGCTTCAAGTTCTCCATTTTCATCTGAAGGCTGCTAGCAGAATACTGACTTCCAGGCAGCTAGGATTAGAGTATTAAAGCCCATGACTACAGCGACACGCCTACTCTAACAGGGTCACACCTTCTAAGAGTGCCACTCTCTGGGTCAAGCATATACAAACCATCACACTATCCCAGCTGCATGTGTATTATAGCATATGCACCACTAATTTTGTTAGCATCTTGCCTCACCAAGGACAGAGTGGTCCTCTGGGGCAGTGGGGACCTGGTTGATACTTTCCTCTTCTTTCTAAACAGCAGAGACTTGGTATTGAAGAGCAAGTAGGTGTGAGGGAATCAAGGGTTTGTGGGTGGGAGAGACTCAGACACACTACCATAATTTCTCATGAGGCTGCTTTTCCTTAATCCACCTAAATCTTCAGCGTGTACAGTGTCTGGCAGTCTGGCTGCAGTCTGGGGTAGTCCAGTTGGAAGGAAAGCTTATGGAGTGGCAGTCTTCTGGTCAGCATGCCCTTTCTTGGAGACAATTCATTTCACTGCTGGTGGTAGAACCACAGGCAGTATTTCTATATGTATCTCATTCTCAGACTAACAAAGCAGAAAAGACAGCCAACTATCTTTCACTTTATTTACCATATGTAAATGAACCTGGGTTCGTTATACTCATTATTGTCTAAATTTAGATAATTGTATTAAAAGCTCACTGTAAACTTTTTCTTTGAGCTTGCTGAGGATGGCTGGTACCTAAGATTTCCCACATGTTAGACAAGTCTCTACCAGTCACTAAATGATATCTTTTGATTAATAAACTTATCTTATAGGATTATAATTTTCTACATTGTTCGTGTTTATTAGTGCTTAGTTTTAAAATGTAGACGAATCATTTTACATGCGACAACAGGTTAGAAAACATTTTTAGTTACCTGTTATGATAAAGTAACTTTTTGTTCATTTAGAGGCTTATCCTAAAACAAATTTATTTAAGAATAAAGGTGCACTAGTTAACTTAGTAAGAATGTAAGTAGTTTTCGGTTATTACAGTTTGCTAAACGCTGTTTAGCCTCCGCGAGTGGGATGACGACCACTCGGCTACGGAAGCCGGGAAGGCGAAAGGCGAAGATAGAGCTAAGTAATACTCCGTGCTGCCCCCTAGAGGAGGTGTAGCGTGTGAGCACTGCGGCCTCTGGTGCTGGGTCCAACCGTGCTGCTGTAACCGCGGTGCGCCGGCGCAGGCGCAGTTGACGACGCTGTCTCCCAGGCGCCGCCGTAGCGGAGCTCAGCTGGAGTACGCAGGCGTAGTTGACGACGCTGTCTCCCAGCCAAGACCATAGCGGGGCGGGGCCGCAGTGCGCAGGCGCAGTAGACGACGCTGTCTCCCAGGCGCCGCCGTAGCGTAGCAGGGTTGCAGTGCGCCGGCGTAGGCGAGCGCGGAGGCGCGGTCACCATGGCGCTACAGTAGCGGTGCAGGTGCCTGGGATCCAGAATGAGCGGGTCCGAGACGGACCGCTGGGCGTGGCTGCTGGTGCTGAGCTTCGTGTTCGGGTGCAACGTGCTGCGCATCCTCCTGCCGTCCCTGTCCTCGTTTGTAAGTAGCTGCCGGGGGTCGGGGAGAGGCCGAGCCCTGGGCCTTGAGCGGTCCTTGCTGCAAGCTCTCTTCCTCCAGGTGGCTCCGAGCTTCACAGATCGCGAGTTTGCAGCCAGCTCTACTTACTGCATTCTAGAGGTGGGAGGTCCCGAACCACGGTTCCCGACAGAGGAGCAGCCCGGGCCAGGCATCCTCACAGGTGCCTGAGTGGCTGATCCCCAGTTAAAGGGAGCTAGTTCCCTTCTGCTCTATCCGTGAGAACAAGGAACACTATAGAGCAATCTACACAGGCCATACTGTTCTTCCTCACTCAGGTTTCTGTTTATGTGTGTGGGTGTTTTTCCTGCGTGTATATCTGTGCACCTTGTGGTTTCATTGCCAGCAGAGTCCAGAAGAGAGCGCTGGATCTTCTGGAATTGGAGTTCCAGACATTAGTTACCTGCCCTGTAGGTGCTGAGAACAGAACCCAGGCCCTCTACAACCGTATTCAGTGCTCTTTCTTACCCACTGAGCCATCTCCAGCCCCAACATATTTCTACATGACTTCGTCTTTCACTCATGCCTGTATAATGAAGTCTTCACATAATTCCTCTAAGGACTGGATGCAGGAAGCTCAATAAGGATTTTTCTGTGCACTGGGAGAGGGGTTGAGGGGCTACTAACTGGGGATGGATGTTCCCACACTCAATGCCCTTCCTAACCTGCCTGCATATTTCTCTTCATCTGTCTTACTATCTGTAGCCTTTAAACCTTTTTTAAAAAACTATTTTTTTAATGTGAGAGTTTTGCCTGAAGAGGAGTCAAGGGAACGCTAACTTGTAGCTGGCCTGTGTGATTTGTGAGTGAGGCCCCCCACCTTTGGGATGTGACACTGTAGAATGGGGAACACCTTGCAGGTGAGCCCACACATTTGAGATCACAGCAGACATCTGTGTTGTGAGCAGTTGATAGGAGACACTGAACGTGATGCCATCATCATCTGTCTTTCTGGAGAGGCATCTAGTCCTTCATCCCTGTAATCCTTTTGTTTGTTTCCGTGGTTGTGTCTGGATAGCAGCCCCTTGTGATTATGTGTGTTCTCATTCTGCTTTCTTGTGTAGTTTTATTTTTCCATCCTTGTGTGTGTGTGTGTGTGTGTGTGTGTGTGAAGACTGAGGTCAGTCGGTGCCTTGGCCACTCTTCTGCCTTATTCATTGAGGCAGGGTCTCTCAGTAAAACCCAGAGGACACTGACAGGGCTAGCTTGCTGTGGGGACCCTGGCTCCATATCTACACCCACCTTTCAGGTGGTTCCTCATGCTTGTATATTGAGAGCTTTAACCACTGAGACAGATCCCTGCCTTGGGGGTTCCACCTCTGTCCTGTGTCTTGTTCCCTTTGACCTCACAATGGAGCTAAGGAAACGGAACTCAGATGTTCAGGGAGGCTGTGTAGGGCTGTCCTCCTCACTGAATTGGTCGCGAGTTTCCAGTAACTAGCAGGTTGGGAGGAGATACAGATCCTGTCACCAACTCAGGGTCCTCCAGTACATGTTTACCAGACTTGCATGTGTTCTGTATTAGTCCCTTGTCACAAAGGATGGGCACTATAGTTTCACATGCCTGAGTGTTTGTTCTCTGTGCATGGCCATCATAGTTTTGAGGCAGTGCCTGGGCCTTGACCTGGGCCTGTCCCAAGTCCCGTGCTGTTCCTGAAGGTTGTATAGGCTCTGCTTTGAACCCACTGAGGTAAAATCCTTTGGCAGTGACACCTGGGGTGGTTGCTGGGTTCAGAAAGACAACGCATTACCATAGGGGAGAGGAGCCTGCCCTTGGTGTTTAGAACAGGGAGGACAAATAAGAGATCAGTTTGCCTGGTGGCTGGGTTTCCAGTAAGGGAGCTTTTGGGTACACCCTGGTATAAGGAGGCCAGAATACCTTCCTACAATGCTTAGAGCACCCTTTCCCCAACCCCCGAGCCTCTGATTTGAAGAACCAACTATGACAAATCAATGACAAGAAGGTTGGGTTGAGGCTATAGAGTGTAGCCTTTTGTACTGTGTTCCTGAGCATCGGTGCAGTCAGGAGGAGTGCACACCCTCAGTGCAGCAGGAAGGAGGGCAAGGTGCTGGGCACCCAGGTAGACTGAGGAAGGCAGTGAGCTGTGTCAGTGTCAGTGGGGAACAAAGGCTGATGACTTTTGGGCTATTTAACTCTCTTGTTGTTCTGGAGCCAAAAGCTGATGGCTTCTGGCTATTAACTCCTGCTGATAGCAGCAGGGGATAAGAAAAGAAATTTAGTTATCTAGGTTCTTAACTCTGACTGGGCTTCTAGATGGCCAGGCCAGAGGCTCTGAGTTTATTAACTTTTCGTGAGCCAGAGAGGAAGGAAAAGAAAGAAAGTCAGGCACACACACAGATGCACGTACACTGGATGAATCGGAAAAGGGCTACACCACTGTTTGCTTATTGTTCTTAGTTTTATACCTTCTCAGGATAATTGATTACATTTTCTTCTAAGCACTTTTACATTCCATAAGTTCATAGTAAGTTTAAGGTCATATTTCATGTCGTAGATTGATAAGGCTTAAGGCGTTGCAGCAGAGTTGTTTACATGTCTTTCCATTAAGCTAGTACCTACCGGAGTGAACATTCATTACTGTTACTAGCCCCACAAGTTCACTGTTAGTTTAGAGCGATAGTTGTTATGTTGTAAGTTAGCATGATTTTGTCAAGAGACAAGTCATCTTCCTTGTGCCTTACTAGTTTGAAGTCTTGTATAGATAGATTAGTCCATCATTTATTTTCTGTCCTTGCACCTACAAATAAATTGCCCATGTCCAGTTTTATGACCTTCAGTTACCAGAAAGTGGCCTTGTTCCTAACTTTGAAGGAATGCCTTCCTGGATTGTAGGTTTGTTCCAAGCCTGCTTTCTTTCCCTAGTTCAATTAGCCCACGACACATGAAGGATTACAGAGCTCTATTTGCAGCTTTCATTCTACAGGGAAGGCTTGCGGTTACTTGTGTCAGTTTAGGGGTTCTATAAAATCATGATCAGGAATTATGAAATCATCAGTTCCTCTACACAGCATTGTTACATGAAAGTACATGTTCATGTTGATCTCCAGAAAATCTGCCCAGTAGGGTGGGGTGAATTCCTGTTACTGAAGGAATCATTAAGTTGTAGAATTGTGTCAGGAAAGGCATATCAACGGTGGGATGCAGTCCTGCGGGGAAGTCTCTGAGGATTCTGTCTCTCAGAGTGCAGCCATTGCAGCCATGGAGAAGTGGTGGACCGTCTCCTGAAAACTTACTTGCCATACATAGCCTTTCCTAGATGGCTTCTGTCTAGTGCCTGTAGTTTGCCTGGTTGGAATTTTCCTGAGTGTCCTTCCCTTTAGGTTGGTCACGACATGCATAGTTGAGACTGCCTAATTTATAAAGAAAGGGATCCAGTGTTGTCTTAGGAGAAGGGGACATTGGACACACTGTGTGCTCATTCATGGGGAGGGGTACACTGCTCAGGTGCCCCTGATTTGACGTGTACAGGTGGGTGAGACTCTTCTAAGATTTTCAGAATTCCTAGGACTGGCATGACAGTCCTGGGCTTGTAGTATGCAGGTGCCTATGCCAAGTTCCTGATAGACCCTTCTCTGCTGGCAGTCGCATGTGTACACATGCTTCTGGGGCCTGGCTGGTGTAGCCTACTTCTCTCTGCTTGTTCAGCAGTTTTGATTTACCCCTTTGCTTTTTGCTTCAAGCCTTAGGTACTCGCATTCCACAGACCAGATTCTGAGCAAAGCCCTTCTTTGGGATTTATTTATTTATTTATTTATTTATTTATTTATTATACTTATTTTTGAGACAGGGTTTCTTGGCTATCTTGAAACTCATTCTCTAGACCAGACTGGCCTTAAACTGAAGAGATTGCCTGCCTCTTATTTATGAGATTAAATGGGATTAAAGACATGCACCACCATGCTTGACTGGGACAGGATTTTGTACGACTTCCAAGTGTTAGGATGACATACCAACCTGGGCCATGACAGAGCGGTGTGTTCTGGGTGGTGGGCACAGTGCTTGGCTGACAGGGCCTCTGTAGGGTACACAAATGGGGAACAGGCATTTCTGGAGGAAGTTAGGCTTGCCCAGGAAGTCGCACTAGATGACCCTGGTACTAGTTGTGAGCCTGTGCAGGTTTCTGGACTTTCTGTGTTTAGGTTTTGGTGTCTACATGTTGGTGACCTGGGTTGGTCATTTTTGAACTTGCCTGAGGAATCCCAGGAGGGTGGAGCTGGGCTGTGCATGTCATGCTGCCAGCTTTCAGACCTGTCCCTGGCTCGCCAGTGACAACATGGCCACAAGTTAAGTCCTGGACAAACATTACCTATCGGCAGGGTGTATCCTGGCCAAACTGGACTGAAGCACTGCAGGCAGGAGCACGGTGTACTTGCCCGCAGGCAGCTAACCTCCGGCCACAGGGTGGGAAGAAGGAAGCTGAGCTCCTGTCCTTTGCTCCACCTGAGTCATCTGGGTAAAAATTTCACAAACTTAGTGCCTCAGATTGTGAGTAATTCTCCCTCCAGGGCCTTTGTGAGTTGGAATCATCTGTTTTTCTTCTGAGGTGTACCCACTGTGCCATCACTGGATTGCAGGTAGCTGGCTTTGAGCCTCTCCTCCTGTAGCTTCCCAAATGATGGGCTGACAGGAGCATCTTCAGGCCTAGTGCTTCCTGCTTCTGTGGAGCCCTGGGGAGCTGGCCTGAAGCAAGAGTGGGGTCCGGGCGTGTCCATACCCCTGAGATGAGGAGGGGTAAGACCACCCCACCCTCTGCGCCTCAGAGGAGGCTAGGGAGCCCACAACCATGATGGGCATTGTATGTATGTCTTTCTAAGGTTACATCCAGCAGTATCTGAAATTCCCCATGTGTGAGGCTTCCTCAGCACCCTGACCCCAGCCAATGATGTGCATTCTCCCTGAAGACCCCTGCACACCCCCAAAGGTTTAATAATAGCCTTTGTTCTCCAAATTAAATAAGCTGTCTCACTGAAGCCTGAGAGTCTGTTTTCCCTGACTGAGGTCCCCATCCCTGACTGTTCTTCCTTGTCCACCCCACCACCTCAGGATCTGCTGGTTGTGACCACAGGTCATGCTGCTATAGGGCGGGAAAGCAGAGCCCTAATGGGATGTTTCCTGTTTAAGTTTAAACATCCTTTATAGAGTTCCTGATTTTTTGTTAAATGTAAAGTTTTCATATTTATGTATGTATTTAATATACATTGATGTGCCGGGCAGTGGTGGCACACGCCTTTAATCCCAGCACTTGGGAGGCAGAGGCAGGTGGACTTCTGAGTTCGAAGCCAGCCTGGTCTACAGAGTGAGTCCCAGGACAGCCAGGGATATACAGAGAAACCCTGTCTCGAAAAACCAAAAAACCAAAAAACCCAACCCCCCCCCCAAAAAAAAAAAAGCATTGGTGTTTTGTCTGCATGTATGTCTGTGTGTGTCAGATCCCCTAGAACTGGAGTTGCAGACAGTTATGGGCTGCCAGGTAGGTGCTAAGAATTGAACCCACGTCTTCTGGAAGAGCAGCCAGTGCTCTTAACCACTGAGCCATCTCTCCAGCCCCCCAGATTTTTTAAACTTTATTAATTCTTTGTGAATTTCACATCATGCACCCCAACCCCATTCATTTCCCTGTCCCTTCATATCTGTTCTCTGCCCTTGCAACCCCACCCCCACAAATGAAAAAATAAAAAAAAATCTTGTCGTGTTAATTGTAGTGTGTCCCACAGTGTACCCTTTGTCCACACATCTTTGCCCAGCACACATTGTAAATGTTGGTTGCAGTGAGTCGTTGGCCTGGTTTGAGGCCTCTGGCTTTGGCTACACCAACATTGGATCCTCAATGAGACTGCTCTAGGATATCCTGTTGTTGTCCTGTATCATGGAGATGCTGCAGCTTTGCATCTGCAGGACCGACCCTTTCACATGCTCCCAAAGTTCATAGGTTGGGTAGACGCTGGGGTGGGTAAGCAAGCTCAAAGCCCTGGATCTGGGCCTTGCGGGTAGCTGAGTTGATTGGCCTATCTGTTCTCCTGTACCAACACCAGCAAGGCAGAGCCTCCAATACTGACCCAGCTAACCCTCCTGAGTGCTACAGGTGGCAAGGGTCAGGGCTGACTCCAGGGAATGAGGGGTGGGGAGATGGGGAGTTGGTTCTCTGATTTTTGAATGATAGCTCTGTGACTGTTTTTTTTTTTTTTTTTTTTTTCGAGACAGGGTTTCTCTGTGTAGCCTTGGCTGTCCTGGAACTCACTCTGTAGAACCAGGCTAGCCTCGAACTCTCGAACTCAGAAATCCGCCTGCCTCTGCCTCCCAAGTGCTGGGACTAAAGGCGTGCGCCACCACCGCCCGGCGCTCTGTGACTTTTTAAATATTATTTTGGCCTTTAAAATTATATTTTTTATGTGAATGATGTTTGGCCTGCATGTATGATATGTATCTGTGTATCACCTCCATGCCCGGTGCCCATGGATTCAGAAGAGGGTGTTGGATCCCCTAGAACTGGAGTTAGAGATGGTTGTGAACCACCATGTGGGTGCTGGGAACTGTACCCCAACCCTCTAAAGACAAGCACTCTTAGCACTGAGCGTTTCTGCCCCTGTAACCATTACAGACTTTGGTCCATTCCTTTTTTTTTTTTTTTTTTTTCTCCAGGGTGGACCAGGCTGAAGCAACTCTCCCTTTGAGTGGAGAACAGTGGAGAATGAGGCAGGTTTGCAGACCCTGTTCCTCGTCCACTGTGTAGCCATCAGGGTGACTCACAGTGCTGGTCCGGCCTAGGAGCTTCAACATAGGGGTTCCTGAAGGCGCCTCAGGTTGTGTGCCTGAACTGTTTGTCTACCATCACTGCTGGGGTCAAGGGTTTGGCCCTGGCTGTAACTGAAGTTGCCTTACTTTGTGGCAAGCAGAGGGATCCTCTGAGCTGGAGGTGGCGCCATTGCTGTGGGCCAGCTAAGCTTTACATACTCTTTTCATCTTTCAAACCAACAGAGCTATTCTCTTAAAGATTGGGCAAACATGTACATTCAGGGGTTAGGCATACAGTATATAAAAAAGCAGTTTTCCTCCCGAACCCTTGAAGGTAAATTGACAGTCCTCTGCTGTTCTGTACTTTGGTGAGTGAGCAAAGGTCTTGGCTGTAATACTGGTGACACACGTGTTCAGTTTGAAGGCTTGCTTTGGTTTCCCCTCAGAGGAGAGGGCTCTTTCCAGTAGTGCTGTGTTTGGAGGGTCCTGGACAATGCTGTTACTGCTCAGCCATTGGGGCAGTGCTTCCATTTGTCGGTGAGGCAGGTCTCTGGCGATTACTGGCCTAGACTGTACCTTTCTGCACCCTGCCTTCCCCACCTAGTCCTGGGACCTGACAAGCCCTGATAGCTGTTGGGTGCCACCTGGTGGCCACCATTGCATGTATCCAGAGCACAGTTAAATCGTCCGGGTCTCAGTGAGGAAGGACACTGATGCAGGCCTCCTCCCTGCCAGATCTCCAGGGTGCTGCAGAAGGATGCAGAGCAGGAGTCACAGATGAGAGCAGAGATCCAGGACATGAAGCAGGAGCTGGCCACCGTCAACATGATGGACGAGTTTGCCAGATACGCCAGGCTGGAAAGGAAGATCAACAAGATGACGGACAAGCTCAAAACGCACGGTGCTTGTCTTGCAGCCACTGATGGTGGGGGTGGGCGGGGGAAGGGGGCTGAGGGCAGGGGGTGGGGAGGTGGGGGGACTGTCTTCATGTGTGGATTTGAGGTACATGCGTTACTTCTCCTTATTTGCTGGTAAACCCTTTGCTTTCTAGATCCAGAAATCCTTGTAGATTTTTCTTCAGAGCCAATTCATTCTCTGTAGATTTTCACTTTCAAGGCTGGCACTTTGCTTAGGGAAGTCCAGATGAACACACAGTGGGTCCTCAGGGCACTTGGCACTCTCAGGGGCATGCACACAGTGTGTAGATGGCACGGAGCAGGTCCTGTGCGAGTGAAGGATAGTGCACCCTTGGTCCCAGTGTTCTGCGGCAGGGCTTCATAGTGAAGCCCTGTCTGTCTATCTCTCCTTTTAGGGCTACACAGTGAGTCCTCCAGAGGGCAGTGTGTCCTGAGAGCCCCTGCTGGGCTGTGTAAGCTGGAGCAGGCTGTGTAGAGCACAGGCCTGGGAGGGCTGGACTCGTGCAGGAGGCTCAGAGATGGTGTAGGTTAGAAAATGGGGATGATGGGTTTGGGACTGTCAATGAGCGGCAAGCGCCTTAGGAGAAGAGTCTCTGAGACGCTTGCAGTGACTTCAGGGTGCAGTGTTAGTAGATTTCTACTTAAATAATAGCATAGCAATCCACCTTTAAATTTTGTAAAGTGCCATCCAGCGTAAGGATATGTTGTCCTGTTTGTTATTTCTAAGTATGTTGATTATGATTATGATTAGAACATGTTTAATAAGGGAAAACATTTCTCGGTTCTCAGTTCTCATTTGTGTTCTCAGTTTTGCAGGATTAATTCATGTTTCACCTTGTTTTTTTTCTTTCAGTGAAGGCACGGACAGCTCAGTTGGCCAAGATCAAGTGGTTTATCAGTGTTGCTTTCTACATACTGCAAGTGAGTGTTGCCAGTGCTCTGCACAGCTGTGATTTGTTTCCCCTTAGTCTGCTTGTGTATGTGCACATGTGTGTAGGCATTTTCCTGTGTATGTTTGTGCACACATGTGTACAGAGGTTGTCGTTGGTTGTGGTATCTTGATTACTCTCCATCTTCTATCCCAGGGCAGGCTCTGTCACTGAAGTTTGTAATCTAGTCAGTTTGCTTAGGGCCTGCTGTGGCCTCTGAGACAGTCTTTGTGGGTGTTGGGATGGCCAGCTCTTTACCTCCTGAGCCATTTACCCAGTCCCCAGTTGTGAATTCCTAAGATTGAAAATAAAAAAGCCTCCCAGCTGGAGACCTGGCTTTAGAGCTTCTTGCCTTGCCTTCCCCTAGAGGGGAATGCTCTCCCTGGGGCTGTATGTTTTCTGGTGCTGTAAGGCAGTGCTTGTGTCCTCCAGGTGGGAAACCAAAAGATTTTCTTTTTCTTTTATTTTTTTTTTCTTTCAAGACAAGGTTTCTTTGTGTAGCCCTGGCTGTCCCGGAACTAGCTCTGTAGACCAGGCTGCTTCAATGACACAGAGATCACCCTGCTTCTACCCCCTCAGTCCTGGGATGTAAAAGTATGCACTGACTTGACACTTGTCTTTTTTTTTTTTTAAATGTATTCATTTCTGTGTATGGGTGTTTTGCTTGCATAATTGTTTGTACATCATGTATGTGCCTGGGGTTCTTAGAGTTCAGAAGAGGATATTAGATTCCCTGAGACTGGAGTTAGAGACATATGCGAGTCACCCGGTGGGTGCTGGGAATTGAACTTGGATCTTCTGGAAGAGCAGGCAGTACTCTTAAAAGCAGAGCCAGCCATCTCTCTTGGTCTCCATTCTCCCCGACTTGTCCCATTACTGGCCCCTGGCATTCTTATCTGGGTGTGTGTGTTCTCTGCCTTCTGGATGCCACTTAGGGTACTCCACAGAGACTCATCCTCAGAGACTTATCCACAGAGACTCACCCACAGAGACTCAGGCTCTCTTCATTCTGAGCATTTCAGCAGAGCGTTCAGGACTACAGAAGGTGCTTCTGGGAAAGGATAAGAAGTGAAACATTAGTTTTTCACCCTCTTGGAGCTGATTGGGGTGACAGAGGGATTATGGAGTCTGGGCTGCTTTTATACAGGCATGCAGTTCAGCTGCCCAGAGGCTGTGGGCAGACTCAGCTCACTTAAATGTGCAGCATCTATGTTAAAACAGGAAAATGCCAGTTCCCACAAGAAGGCCTACCCCCTGCCACCAGTGTGTGACGGTTTGTCTGGAGCTATGTGTGTTTGCGTGCGCATGCACGCTTGTGTGTTTACTGCAAGGACTGATGGAGCCCTGAGGCCCCCACTCACCACAGCCTCCTTCCAGGCAGCACTGATGATCTCACTCATTTGGAAGTATTACTCCATCCCTGTGGCTGTGGTGCCCAGCAAGTGGATCACCCCACTAGACCGCCTGCTCGCCTTTCCCACTCGAGTAGCAGGTAATTGTTTTCTGGAAATACAGTGGTGGCAGGAGATTAGATGACCTGACTTCATCCTCACTGTCCCCTCAGCAACCTGCGCCTCCTATCCCAGCCTTCTATGGTCTGGGGAAGCTACTTGCCAGGGGCAGGGTTACATCCCTGGCACCCAGAGGCTGCTTCTCCTCCCATGGCTCCCTCTCTAAGTAGCTTGCTGCTCTTGGCTGTTGCCTTTGAGTGTGAAAGGTCTTTTGGACGCTAAAGGTTGTTCATGTCATTGAAGAGTGAGCAGACACATAGGAATACTTTTTCTTGTTGGGTATTCTTTAGACAGGGTCTCACTGTGTGGCCCCGACTGGCTTGGAGCTAGATTTGTAGACCAGGCTAGCCTCCAGCTCACAGACATCTACCTTCTTCTGCCTTCCCAGTGCTGGGATTAAAGGCATGATCCTCCATGCCCTGGCAATTTAGGAACTATTTTTTAAAAATCATGCCAGTTGGCATACTTTCAGTCTAGCACTTGGGAGGCAAGCAGGAGAATCTCTTGAGTTTTAGGCCTTCCATCTTGGTCTACATAGGGAGTTTCAAGCCAGCCAATGCTGTATAGATTTAAAAAAAAAGACACCACTCCCCCTACAAAATCCATTCAGTTACAGATAAACCCTTAATGCTGTGGTCTGTTTTGAAGTGATCGAGGTCATCTGACGTTTTATCCCTTTTCCCTCGACGCTGTAAGCCCACTCAGTAAAATACCACAGTGGGCGGCTTATACACACAGACTGGGTATTATTAGGACCCATTCAGTGGTTCATAAATGGCACCCTCTCTAGGGTCCTTGGGTGAGAGGAGGAACATCAGACTGCACCATGTAGGCTTCTTCCTCAGGCTGCCGTGTGATCCCAGCCTCTCTCAGAGGCCCAGAATACCACTGTCCCCAGGGTATGACTTTAGTGTGTGAATTAGAATCCATACTTGTAGGTCATAGCATTCCACATTCAGTAGCTGCTTGTCATCTGAATTTTCCTGTGAGGACACTTTTTTGGGTCCTGATCTTTGCTAGTAGAAGTACTGCTGCTGGATGTGACGGCTTATGCCTAGAATCCTAGCCCTGGGAGGAGGAAGAAGGGGAGGGGCCAGGGGAGGGGGGAGGGGGAGGGGGAGGAGGGATTGATATAGCTTCAAGGCCATCATGGACTACAGTGTAAAAGCCTGTTAAAAAAAAAAAAAAAAGCAACCTGCATATTCTCGCCAGTCATGGGTTCTAATGTGTGGTCCTACAGTGTAGCTGTGTTGTGTTCTCGACCTCCCTCCCCTCTCCCCTCCCCTCCCACCTCCCCTCCGCCTGTTGGGCTCAGGCCTGAGGAGCAGCAGACCACCTTTGGCAGCACTCTGCTGAGCTGTAGGCCTCACAGCCTGGGCGGGGAGGTTGGGGATATCTTCACTCTAGGCCTCAGAAAACATGAATTTATTTATAGTGCTTTTGTGAGAAGTGAAAAAGGAATAGTGGTACAGGTGTTCTTCCAGCCTGTTGACATAGACCCAGTGAGTTCTCTGTCAGGAGGTGTACATGCAGCCCTGTCTGGCCGTGTCTAAGGAGCTCCTTCTCCTGCACCTCCTCCCTGTAGGTTGATGGTAACAAAGGCTTGGCTGCTGTGCCTCTGACGTGAGTTTCTTTCTTTTCAGGTGGAATTGGAATCACCTGTTGGATCTTAGTCTGTAACAAAGTTGTGGCTATCATTCTCCATCCTTTCAGCTGAGGGGAAGGCCAGCTACAAGTCTTTACAAAAGGATTCTGATAAACAGCAGATTGCACACAAGTCCACAGATTGTCTTTTATGTTTTGGAATATGTTTGCTTTGATGTGTCACCTGGGATTCTTGCTGAAGTCAGGATTTTCTACACTCGCCATTGAGCCAGAAAGACCAGTTACAGCACTCGCGTATCGTCTGACACAGCTCTCGGTCCATACTGACTGGGAACCACCAAGCGGCATCTGCTGGGGCTTGTTCTGAGCATGGTTTGGGTCTGTCATCAGCTGCAAAGTCAGACTTGTAGCAACTCCTATAGTGTCATTTTTAATTTTAGAAAAACCCACATTTTTCGTAGCACTACTAAACCTCCTTTTAATTTCAGTTACTGAAGGTGACATAGGCTAGTGGCTGTCTGTGCTTGTCCCCTTGAAATGTCACACATAAGTGTATGAAAAGTATTGCCGTATGGCTAAGCTTGTTAATTTTTCATAGTGGTTCCTACATGTGTTCACAAGACTATGTATATTTTTATGTAAAGCATCTCAAATGAAGTCTGTCTTTAAAGCACTGGGTGTTTATGCTGTGCAGAGTGGAACAGGATCAAGCACGGTGCAGTCTGATCCGGTTCATCTGAGACTCCTTAGGCTTGTGAAGATACTAGGCAGAATTCTGCCTTTGTTTTTGTTTTTATTTTTTTGTTCTGTTTTTTGAGACAAGGTCTCTCAGTGTAGCTTCGGCTGTCCTGCCTGAAATTATGTAGACCAGGCTTGTCTCAAATCCACAGAGATCCACTTGCCTCTATCTCCCAGATGATAGAATTAAAGGTGTGTTACGCCAAGACTGTTTTTGAAGCACTTTTCCTAGTTACAGTATTTGCCAGTGCTAGTGTGACTGTCCCAACAGCCTTACTGCGGGAGCAGTCCATCACTGCCTGGGCTGCACAGAAAAGCTCCCTGTCAGCACTGGCTGTCCTGGAATTACTACGTAGACCAGGCTGACCTGGAATTTACAAGAATCCTCTTGTCTCTGCCTCATGGCTGCCGGGATTTAAGTCATAGCAATGGGTTTTGAAGGATCATATTTATATTCTTGTGTTTCCTAATGATCTCCTAAGTAGCTCTTTGTTATTCTGACTGTACTGTGAACAGGCCAAGTGTGTGGCTCTTGGGTTGACTGTAGACCGAGTGCCACCAGAGCAGGCTTGAGAGTCCATTGATTTAAACTCAGCAGATGCTGCAGGTAGATCCACAGTTACTTGGCTCTATTTGTAATGGGCACAACGGAGTGCAGCAGTGGGCATAGGCAACATTGCCAGGAGAACCTGCCCGCTAGCTCCAGCATGCTCACCACAAAGCAAGCACTTGGTCTGTACAAGATTAGCTGAGGACCTGAGGAGGTTGGGGCAGAATCTGGGTTCCCTCCAGGGATTCAGCCCTTGGGGTGGGGGAGGGTGTATGTTTTCCTCCTTTCTGTAGTGAGCCACAGTCTGCAATGGAGCTTTTTGCCCACATCATTTAGGTAGCCAAGGTCAGCATCCCAAGGCCACTTAGAAGGGCAATCAGAAGAAAGTGTCCCGACCAGATGCCTCTCACAGGACTCATGATTTTGGCTGACCTGAAGGAACGAGTGACTGTTAGTGTCCCCTGCGTGTAGTGTATGTAACACCAAGGAGGGGATGTCACTGTGGTTCCCCCCAAATTGTAATTGTTTATTAATGGGTAATAAACGTTGAGTTAAAAAGGGACTGGGTGCCTTGGAAGCGTGCTTCTGTCTCCTCCTGCCTTGGCACTTTCCCAGGCTCCACTGTTACCTGCTTCTTAGGGTTCTCCAAGATGGTCCATGTTTATGAATGTTGGTGTGTGTGCATTTAAAGCCTTTAACATTTTTTATAAAAGGAAGTATCTAAAAAATCAGAATCTCTAATTTTTTTTTATTTAAATTTAAATTTTGAGATGGGTCTCACTGTGCAGCCCTGGCTATCCTGGAACTTACCATAAAGACCAGGCTGGCACATCCTGCCTAAGAGATAGCCTGCCTCTGCCTCCTGAGTGCTGGGATGTGGGTAGAGGCTCTACACACAGCTTATATCCAGTATACCCCATCATCTCCATCACCACCACCATCACCATCACCATCATTATCCCTCAGCAGGCATTATACCATTGGGCCACACACAGCCCTTGATCTCAGTTGTTAAAGTGTTAATACATACTAGCCCATAAACATTTAGAGACAGTGTGAGCAATTCTAGATAATGATTAAGTTGTTCTAGTAGCTAAATGAAGGCAAGTTACACAATGTAGACTGGGAATACAGACCCTTTATAGTCCAACAAAATACTGTTAGAATCAGACCTGAGCAGCCAGCTTGAACATACAGTTGTTCTACAACAAGATTAAGAGAAACGGTCATTGTGTAGCAAAAAGAAATAATAAATCTCAACAATAACAAAATAATAGACTTCTATACAGGCACGGGGTGGGGGGGGCTCACAAAGGCAGGCCACTTAGATGTCTTCAGCTCAGCTGAGCAAGAGACCACCAGCAACGTCTCACGAGGCCAAGCCTGAATCCTTGTACTGTCTTTGTGTCTGCTGGCCATCTTGCTGATCAGTAGTACCTCTTCCATGCAGTTGTGACGACCAGCAGTCTTGCTGACAGAACTTAACGCGCCTTAGGCTGGCCAACAATCACGAGCTGTGAGTCCCAGATTTCCGGGCTATGTAATAAATCCAATCTTCCTAAAAAGAGTGGGCATGCATATTCCGCCTTCATAATAAAGATGTAGATTTGTATTTAAAATGTTACCATATGACCAAGGTACAGTGGATTTTTTTTATTAGATATCATGCAAATTACCCAAATTACCCACAGTCCACCCAAATACTAAAACAGACACTATGTAAGCCCTCACATGGTAAAAAAGATTAAAGGCACATAACTAGTATATAAGCCAGAATGTATCAGGTGGCTGCTGCATTTAAACAACAGTCTTCTTGTTGGCTTCGGTGGGTGAGGCCTGGATGGACCGCACCACTGTGGCTTTGGAGTCCCCGAAGGCGTTGCTGGCCGAGGCCTGGAGCCCGGGCTGCGGGGACTTGCTGACTGCCTCGCCTTTGCTGGGGCCAGCCCTGCCCGCGAAGCCCGCTCCGAACAGCTCCTCCATGAGGCTGCTCTTCCTGTCGCGGAACGCCGTCGCTCTGGCCCTGGCCTTGGCCCCCTTGCCGAACGAGGGCTCGTAGCCGGTAGGCTCCAGCCGCAGCTCCTGCTCGCTGCGGTGCTTGCCTGTGCCGTGGCGGCAGCAGCAGTGCGGGCTGCCGGAAACCTGCCTGCAGGAGGTGGGCAGCCCGTGGTGCAGGTTCTCGGTGGCCTCGGTGAAGGAATAGTGCTTCCGCGACCGCGGGGTCTTCCTCCGGCAGCGCCCGTGCTCGTTGTCGCCGGCCTCCCCCGCACCGTGCACCTCTTCCGCCTCGTCCGCCCCGGGCAGCTCGTGCGCCCCGACCACCTCGCCGACTTCGCCCGCATCACCAGCATCGCCCGCATCGCCGGTATCGCCTGCATCGCCTGCATCGCCGGCCGCCCTGGCCATGGCCTCATCCTCGGTGTCCTTGGGGGCCTCGCTTCCCTTTGCAGTTGGCTGTGCTTCTGCTGGGATGGCTCTCTTTTCTTGGTCTTCCTTTTTCTCTTTTGGCCTCCTAGGAGTTTCCAGAGAGGTTTGTGGTTTCGGGTGTTCGACCTCCTTTGATAAATCTGCGTTAGAAAGATGGAGCATTCCATCAAACAAGTGGATTTTAGGAGGTTCCTTCACCCCCACTCCCAGCGCGGTGCAAGCTGAGAGCCTGAGTTCCTGCCCCTGTCACCCACTAGAAAGCAAATTCATGGCTGTGCGGGACTCTGCCCCCAGCACAGGCAGATCCTGAGCATTGCTGCTGGGCTAAAGGGGAGCTTCCCTCAGTGAGAGCCCTGCCTCCGGGCAATGAGGCCCAGGGTAGTGGAGAAAGATACGGTGTCTTGGTCTGGTCTCCTGGCCTGGTCTCCACCCATGTGCTCACTGCACTTACACACACCATACAAAAAAATGAATGGATTCAGGGCTGAGAGTGTGATTCTAGGTTTGACACCCCTGCTCCATAAGACCAGTCCCAACCAGAAAAACCTCAGGGGATTCCCATTTCAGGATAGCATGTTCACACACCTCCCTAGACGTCTAGACAAGACACTGAAATGGCAGAAGTGGCAAATACTCAGTGCACTAATACACAGAAGGGGGCATGGCTAACCTTCCCTAAACCATCCCAAATAAGTGGGAATTAGGAAAATAAACAGGTTATTCATGCAAAATACTAAGGGAATCTTGTCTTGGGGCTATTAAAACATGCTAAGCATCAATTCAAACAGCAATCATTTCAATAGAAGCTGAGGAAATGGCCCAATGATGGGTGTGTGTAAATCAGCAATTTATTTTTATTTAGTTTTTTGTTTTTCCAGTAGTTTGGCAGTTTCTAGTAGAATTTAAGTGAAAACATTCTTTCATCTTTAGGAACAAACTTACACAACCAGAGTTGCAAGGCTGTGTATACAGCAGGCATGCTTTAGTTCAAACACTGCAGATACTCGAGAGAAGCTGTTGGTGAGAGACAGCATGCTGCTGTGGGCTCTGGGCAGCTCTGGGCAAGTGGCCTTCCGGGAATTCTACACTAGAACAGGAGCTCAAGGTATTTGCATTTGTTCCTCCTGCTGCTGCTGCTGCTGGTGTGTGTGCATGTGTGTGTACACAAGTGCACGAGTGCATGTATACATGTGTGCGTACATGTGTGCATGTGTGCTTGCGTGTGTGTACATGTGTGTATGAATGCCTCACCACAGTGCGTGCTCAAATAGAATTTGTCAAATGAACAAGTACATTTTCCAAATGTGGTTAAAAATAAGTGGGAAAGTTAAGTGAACACTGGCCACAGGAAATGCACAATTGGTGATCCTTCCAGGAAGCTGTCCCCCCAACCCCCCAGTGATTGGCCTTACGGGGGACACTGCCAAAACTTCTATTTCAACATAGTTGACTTCACAGCAAGAGTCTGGCCCTGCTAGGTCCTCTCAGCTCCTGTCAGGCCTGAGGAAATGCATGGAGTTTTGGCTGGCTCACCTCCTGCTCAGCCTTGCCGTTCCTAACTCACCTGTGAACTATAAAAACAATGTGGCCAGTCTTCAAGATTCTCAAGGAAAGCGATAACCTACAGTTTTTTTTACCTATGTAAAAATTATTAATCACCTGTCTGGGTACAAGAGTGACATTCCAGATGGAAGGCACAGATCTGCTCAGTGGCCACCTGTCCCCAGGAAGCTCGAGGAGATGGCATGTTCTTTAAGACCGTGAGATTTGCTGTGCAAAAATGAGGACGTGGTTTAGTAAACAGAAGATTCAGTGGAGACTCAGGCAGTGAAGGGAGCCTCAGGGAATGATGGGAGAACCCAGCTGCACACCAGCAGCAGACAGATCAGGATCAACCCATGTGCCCACCCCCATCCCTTTCTCCTCCAGACTCCTCTAACCAGGACAGCTAGAGATTTGGCCCCGCCCTGCCTGTGGCCTGGGGGGTTGACTTTGTTCGGGCAGCTGTAGCTTGGGCTGGGTGAGGGTCCTCCTTACACCCACAGAATTATCTGGCTTTGACCTGCTCTCAAGAGCGGAAAGTTAGCTTGGTGATCTTAGGTTTAGATACTCTAAGCAGCCCATTTGAATATTCTCTGTCTTGGATCTACCCCCAAGAGCCCTGGCTGTAGAGCTTATGACTTCGTGTCTTCCAAGATAATTCATGACTTTGCCAGTTGACTGGGCCCTGGACTTGTGGCCCTTCCCTTGCCTCACTGTCTACAGCCTCATGCTGAGATTGCAGGTGAGCCAAGGAGACTTTTTAAAGCTGTTCAGTTACCTTCATATTTTCTCTTAGACTCTTCTTGCTTTGGTAGTTTACACATATAGTAAGAAACATCATGGTTTATTTCTGTTGATTTTTCTTTATGAACAATGTTTCCTTTTGCCTTTTTACCCTATAATTTATAAAAACAGTAAAAAGCACATTTTTGAAGTGTAGATAATTTTGAATAAATATCAATGCTTTTTGTATATGAGTGACTATTTTTAGTTACCCCCCACCCCTCCATTTCTCGAGTAATAGCCCTGGCTGTTCTGGAACTCACTTTGTAGAATATGCTGGCCTTGAACTCACAGAGATCCACCTGTCTCTACCTCCCAAGAGCTGGGACTAAAGGTATGCACCACCACATCCAGCCAGACAATCTATTTTTTGTTAAGATATTTTTTAGACAATGCAAGATTTCAGAGTTCTCATACCTTAGTTATCCAAAATGGGACATCTGACTTTTGGGTTTCCTGGTGTCTCATATTTACAAATGGCAAACTTTTCTTGTCTGCTTGTACTGATTTTGTTGAACAAACTGTTAAATAGGTAGATTATATGTGAGAAACATTTTGTATTCAGCAGCTTTACTGTTCTCAAGTGCACACTAAACGACACCCTGTACAGGAGTGTTCTAAACAGGCAACACATGGTCAGGGTTCTCTTTCCTACCTTTCCTTCATCTGTCTTAGCCTCGGTCTCAGAGGTCATGAGCCTCACAGTGTTAAGGGGAACCCGGTAGATGCTAGGACCAGGCAGCATAGTTGTTTTATTGACTTTGTGAGAGACCAAGCCACTGCCACACCATGCCAGAGCTCCAGAGGCCT